CCAGAAATGAAGCCGTCGTAATTTGTCTCCAGGAACTCATTCCGATCCTTAAAGTCGTCAGCCTTTGCCTAAGGTCCCTTCATGTAGTGACTTGCTGTCGCTACCCTAAACCCCAAACCCTCGTGTGTGTGTGTGTGTGTGCCTCCACCTCACTCAGGATAGCCAGTGAGCTTTTGGCCCAGAGGATGCGCCGGACTCCAGCGGACTGGATCTGCTGTCGTAAACGCAGGGCCAACAGTAGTTACCAATATTATTCCTTAGGGCTCTTGTTGATTATACATACTTACTATGTAACCCAAACAGCTATTCGAAGCCGACTGGTTTATTTATAGTGCAGGGAGTATTCTTGAAGGGGTTCTCTAATGCAGCCGTATATAGCCGCTAATATAGCCTCACTAATTCTAACACCCCCCAAATCCCTCTTCTTAGCACGGGGACCCTTATACTACGCTGCACCCTTAGCGCGAGTTCCTTAAGCCCTGAACGTCTGGGTTAAGAGCCAAGAGAGTGCCGACCCTTCGGGGTCAGGTTTGGAGGGACTTAATAGGGTTTAGGGTTTAGGGTTTAGGGTCAGTAAACTCCATAAAGTTGGAAACCGGTTCAAGGACAAATAGTGCTGGGATTCCCTGTACATTACTCTTAAGGATGGAGGCTAACGGGTTTCCAACTTTTGGGCTTCTAGTTTAATCAGTAGCTTATAAACGGAGTCGCAAGGCGCCCCAGCAAAGTTCTCCTAGCTGTAACCCTAAATACGATCTGCTTAAGTAAAGGCCCCAGTCCTTAAAGTAGGGTTCGTGTTGCTCCTTGCTTTGCTGGGTAAGGAAGCTGAAAAAAGGATTACCAGTATACTTCGGGTTTTGATCAACCTCAACGGACTTGGCTCGTATAGGGGCCTTAATAACTGTAAGAATTGCCTTGAGGGTTCCTTATGATAATGACACTATAATGGCCACCAAGAAGCATATTCTAAATGTTAAGGAGGCCTCTACGTTATTCAAAGTCGGCCCTGGGTCTGCGCTGTGGGACCGCCCTTGGTGGATTCGGGAGAGTCGCTCCCATCCTCCAGTACTTCCGGGAGGCTGCGCCGAAACGTCCCCCGGAGGCCTCCGGGAAATGACAAAGCCCTGAACTGGGTTTAGGGTTTAGGGTTCAGGGTTTAGGGTTTAGGGTTCAGGGTTCAGGGTTTAGGGTTTAGGATTTAGGGTTCAGGGTTCAGGGTTTAGGGTTCAGGGTTTAGGGTTTAGGGTTCAAGGTTTAGGGTTTAGGGTTTCGGGCCTCAAGCATACATACTACTACGCGTGTGAGTGGAGGGTGCAAGAAAACCCAGCAGCAGGAGTAGTAGCAGGAGTAGCAGCAAGAAGTAGTAGTAGTAGTAGTAGTAGTAGTAGTAGTAGTAGTAGTAGTAGTAGTAGTAGTAGTAGTAGTAGTAGTAGTAGTAGTAGTAGCAGCAGCAGCAGCAGCAGCAGCAGCAGCAGCAGAGTAGCAGCAGTAGCAGCAGTAGTAGCAGCAGTAGTAGTAGTAGTAGTAGTAGTAGTAGTAGTAGTAGTAGTAGTGGTAGTAGTAGTAGTAGTAGTAGTAGTAGCAGTAGTTGCAGCAGCAGGATTGGGAGCCATGGCAAGTTCCAATCCCGAGCTGGGACCGGGTAAAGCCTAGCTTCAGTGAATGCTTTGTACACGGACAATGCTTCTTTGTCCGGAGGCTGGAACTTAGATCCTGACGTCTTATAGTGTTATAGCCCCCTAAACCCTAAACCCCTAAACTCCTACACCCTAAACCCTAACTATCATCTACATGACGGCTCACTCAGCGGTGGTATGTTGTGAGTTTTTATCCGTGCTTCCTTACCGTGTCCTTCCTTTCCATGAGAGGACAAGAAAGAGTTGGGCCGAGGGCATCTTTCGGGCGCAGTCTCGTATGTGCTGGAATAATTTTGTTGCAGGAGTTTCTTCGGAGACGGGTCCCTTTTAGGGTTTAGGGTTTAAGGGTTTAGGGTTAGACCTGAACGTGCTCCGAGAGTGTCGAAGACTTAATCCTACAATGTCATACGGCTATGCGGCCCAAAGCCTCAGCCGCGATCACGTTCAAGAAACTCCGACTCGGTGGCCCCAACGTGTCCGAGCATGGCCGCGATCGGTGAAGGGAGCATTACACCCCTTCCTCTGTATCTGCGGAGGGTTTTCTAGCTTTGGGTTCAAGAGGATCTGGTTCAGGAGGGGTGCACTAGCTGATTCGGCACAGACGACAGTCGCACAACTTCTTAGCGATTAAAGAGATCCTGTCACATCCCGTGTAGCCTTCAATTTGGCTCTGTGCGTCTTCTTCATTTGTATTGGAAGAGGAATAGAGTAAACGCACAAAGACGTTCAAAATAGACTTCCCCCGAACACTGATTTGGAGTTGAGGGCTTCAGGCCAGAATGAGAATGGATCTCGGTTGTCAGAGCGTTCAGCCTCAGATCACCAACTTTAGGCTTAGGGGTCGTGTCTGCTTATGACTGTCGTGTTGGAAACCCGCCGTTTCGTGCATCACAAGGCAAAGATTCAGCAACTCGCGCTGATTGTCTAATACAGGACCGTGCTTCTTCTTCTTTTTCAGTAGTATTTATAAACCGCACCCCAAACTCCCATTCTACTCATCCAGGCCCCTAACACAATCTTTGCTTTCAGCTAGGAGTAGTTATTTTTCACTACCATTGTGGAATGAGGTCCCTAAAAGCATCATAAGTATGGTGTTTAGGGGCCTAGTTCCATAGTAGTAGTATACATATTGACCCTTCGGGAATTGCGAGCCATCAACTCGAAGCTTCCTTCGCCCGACGTCGTTCGCCTGGCGGCTGCTTTGTGTACAAATCAGGCGGGCCGTCAGTCCATCTTTTTCCATCGACAATTTTTAAGTGTAGGTCTCTTATCGGACACAAGCCGTAGCCAGGTTGCTGTATAGAGACTGTCGGACCGTATCAGTTTGAGTTTGAACCCACATTTCCATCCAGTTTAGGGATTGACGCTGTGTGTTAGGAACTTTGGGTTTTAGCTCTAGTGCATATACTGCTTTAGGTTTTAGGTTTTAGGATTTTACGTCCACTCTTCACTTTTTGGAGTGCGGTTCTGCAGCAGAGACCTCCATTCAAGGAAGCCGGTCCACGGGAAGCCTGTGAGGATGATGGCTAGCGCGGGATAAGGGTTGAAAGGTCTAGGAATCATGGAGTAGGATTAGGGATTGGGGGTGAGGCTTCAGGAATCGCAGTTAGTGTTTGGCAGTATACATTAGGAGGTTCATAATCACAGCCTCTTCCGCTCCGCCATGAACAGACAGACCCAAGTAGGATTGAGTCAGAGGGCTTAGGGCCTCAGCTTGAGTTTGGAACTCTAGGTTGCAGGCTTGCATAAACCCTGAAACCTATGATAAATAGGGTAAAGGTTGAAAAAGTTGAGTGACAAAAAGCTGTAGGATTTAGACTAGTAACTCATAAGCATTTAAGCAGAAACCCTACACTTTAACCCTGAGCTAGTATATGACACCAGGCGCTCTTTTGTTGGCTTCTGCTCTAGCGTAGCCAGCTCTCCGGGGTTGGACCGCAGAGAATCCGAAAGCCGTTAGTTCATCTTAGTTCAGGGTTTAGGGTTTAGGGTTCAGGGTTTAGGGTTCAGGGTTTAGGGTTTAGGGTTTAGGGTTACTGTTCCACTTCTGTCATACTCAAGAGATCCTTGCTTAAGATCTGTGGGGAATTCTGAACGGAAGCCTTCACGTACAGTCCATGTGCCTCTTCCCCAAAGACATAGATTTCAAGTCTTTACACTCAAGATGCTAATTTGTCAGGGCTTGTATCGTAATTTCTAGCCTAGGATGCCATGATGACATGCTGGCTTCAGTATTCTTACAACCAGCTGGGTGGCGTCGAAGCCCCTATGCGCATCCGGACTCTGGAGCCGAAGCTCTGAAATCCCAAGCCTCAGCAACTCGAAGGACTTTGCCTGTGGCCTCGGCCTATTAAAGCATGATGCTCATGCTTTGCAAGCAGCAAAAATCATCACAGGATGACCGTGCTGTTGCTCGGTTTTCTTTTCCCTGTGGCCGCAAGCTTATTACAGGTGGCCACACAGTTGAAATACCTACTTTAAATCAGCTCAGGATCTGCATCTGTGCATCCTTGACCCGCCAGAGCTACATGGTTGCTCTTTCAAGGGGCCAGTCGAGTGGTGAGCTTCTTCTGCGGCGGTCAACATGGGAGTTCTCTCTTCCCCATGTGGGCACTGTAGTCGCAGCAGTAGCAGCGGTCGTGGTAGCCTTGTAAGTTGAGGAGTGGCAGTAGGGGCCGTCGTGGTGGCGGTTGTGGTGGTGGTGGTCGTCGTCGTTTATCCTCGTATTCAGCGGTAGTTGTGGTTGTTGATGCCGGCTGATTACATACTGACTGCAACACGCGAAGTCACTAGATCTCAGCCCCAAAGCAGCCCTAAGCGCTGCCGGTGACATCGCAAGACAAACATGAATCGCAAAGCCATAAAGCTTTCCAAGAGAAAGAACTCTTAAAGATCTCCACCGAGTCTATCCAAATGCCCTGAAGCCGAAACCTTGAACCCTGAACCCAGGCGTCGAGCCGAGTTTGAGTGATATCCAATCGCAAAGGGTCCAATGTACCGATATAGTAGAATGTAGGGATTCCATATTAGGAATTACTTTTATGACTTAGGGAAGTATCCCCCATAACAGTACAAAGGACCCTTTGGGAATTCAGCTAGGACAACGTACTAACCAATTCACGCGGAACCACGTCATTGACGCAGCGGAAAGGAACCCTAGGTATACTGTACCTCTTTTAGCCAATTTTGGCCACATAAAACATGCGAAATTCCCGGGCCCTGCACGTGGCATGGCCCTAAACTCTAAGCCCAAAAAGCCTTCCCTAATCCCTATAAACCCTAAACCCTAAACCCTAAGCCCTAAACCCTAAACCCTTAAACCCTAAACCCTTGAACCCTATGTACCCTAAACACGATCCCAAG